CGCCGGCGCCGCCTGCCCCGCCGGGGGGGCACCGGGACGGGACCCACCGCCCCGGCCCGAGCCGGAGCCGCCCAGGAGTCGGCGGAGCTGCGGCCGCTCCCTTCGCCTTAATTTTCCCGTTTTATTTCGGCTTCAGCCTGGTGAAGCCACGGGCGGAGATGCTGTCAGTGCTGCTGCCGTCCGAGCCCCGAGCCCGGCGCGCTGACCCCAGCGCACCGGCGCTTGGCCTCGGGGACAGGGCAGCGTCCCCTCCGCCTCGCCGGAGGGTCCCTCCGCAGTACTGGGCGCGCTGGGGAAGCGCCGGTTCGTCCTGCGCCCGCAGCACCGAAGTGCCACCGAAACAGGGAGGGAGAGCGACTTGGGCTGTGCTGGTGTTGCCGTGACCGCCTGCCCTGTACCAGCCCTTCCGCGCTCCTGAAAGACGTGAAAACTTCGGCCCCGCGTTCTGCTCTGCTGCCCGGTTCCCTCCTACGCGTCCTCTACTTCTATCGCTTAAACGAGAGACACACACTTCTCCCTTTCATATTTCTCCAAGCTACAAAACACTATCTAAAACTAATAATGACTAGTGAGTCCCGTGTAGGAATCGCGCTTACTCCTGGCAACTATCTGGTTACCGAATTTGACCGACTGCAAGTGCCCAGGAGCGCTGGGCAGTGGGATACTGGCTGCATTGTGAACGCTCAGGAGCCAAGTTTATCGTTTGGTTACGTGTTTTGCATGTTAAGAGGTGTTAAATATGTTTATGTAGGCAACAGTGCCATTATATTTTGTTGACAAAATTTTACATTTACAGTGCCAGTAGATAACCAGCTGAAACGAGGCAGGGGATTTTCTGGTAGAGTAAGAGATTTGTTCTCCATTTGAGCCGTGGAATATGGTAGGTTGTGTAAATAACTGGCAGAAGCCATTAGGAAGGACGTTTTAATTCTTTCTCCTATGCCAGCTAAACCGGCAAAGTAAAAAAGATACCTCCTAGTTCCTCCCAGCATTTGTTTCTCTGTGTGGGCAGTGGTGTTTTGCCCTTTTCGTTCATTCTCTGGAATCTTTGTGGCTGTTGTAGTGCAGGTACCACAAAAATGGAAAAGTTTTTTTGTGTGGGAAAACCAGGAATGATCAAAGAGGTGGGAAAATTCAGCTTCAGGGATTTTCAGCCCCCATAGTAGTTCTTGCTTTGCTTGCAGCCTTCTGGTCCCTGAAGTGGTTCAAAAGGATAGAAGATAGAAATCAGTAATTTTTTCATTCCACTTGAACTGGAATGTGTCAGGCATCGAGGGTCCATCCGTAGGGCCTTTTGTAAAGAAGAGGGGCAGAGTTTCACTGCAGTTGGAAGAAAAGGGTTGTTTTCCTAATTACAAGACAGATGGAGGGCTGTACAGCAGAGTACAAGAGACCATACGCACTGAGCCAAGTCCCTGCAGTGGCACGTGTGGATGGACCAGCTCCACTGCCCGTGACAGCTTTGGGGTTTCTCTGCCTTGGAGGTGCTCCATGTGTGGTGGCTTTGTGTGGCTGTGGGCCAGGCTGCAAGGTGAATAGTGTGGGAGCACTCAAGGAGTGCTCTCTTGCTTTAGACCTAAACTGGGAGAGGATACCTCCTTTCCACGTATGGAAAGTGTAGGTCTTCATGTCCCAGTAATGCCAGTGGCAGTGGTGTACGTGGTGGAGGGCAGAGCTGAGTGTGCCATTCGCACCTACCCTGCACCTTGCACTGTTCTGGGCATGTGCCCTAAACCTCACCTACAGGGCTGTGTTGAAAGTTTTCTCTCCTCCACACAGACTCTTTGGCCTCTCTGCTGAGACCATTACCTGGCTGGTGGGACTGGCTGGCCGCAAAGATTAAAGGCAGGACCGTGTCATCTGATATATCAAACATCATTACGTTCTTCATGTTAATGAGCCTCTTCTGTATCAAAGCTAGAGCAGCTGGTTTGAGTGCAGTGTCACCAAGTCTGAGATTAGATGTGTCTTGCTGGTAAAAATGATGGCCAAAAATCAGATCCACTCTGAGAATGTGGCCAAATTCACAGCCAAATTTTTAACTCATCAGAAAAAAGGGATCTGATTTAAATTCTTTGTCAAAGGCTGTTGAAAGGATGGAAAAGCAGATGGAATTCAGCAGCCAGAGAAGACTTGTCTGTGTTGTTTTTGTTCTTGTTAGAGTCATAAGATGGAGTTAAATGGGGATGCTTTTATAACCAAACTGAAAATATTGCACCAATGCCTGTATTGAATTTCTGACAGCTCCTTTAGTAGTGAGTAATGATTGTTCACATGTAAATGGACTGGGTAACTCGCTGTCACAGCACCTTGAGGCTGGACTTTAGCAGGATTCCTAAAGCAGATTTGATATGTAGATAGAAGATAAGATTAACTAAAGTTTGAAAGGAATATTTGAAAACATACAGACCACTGCAGGTCCCACTGCTGCCTTATGGGATTGGAAATTGACTATTGGGACGATTTAGACATTTACTAAATACCAAAGGATGGAAAGTCACAACATGGGGAAAGTGTTATCTTGAAAGTGCTTCCAGCAGTATTTCTTATGTCTTCTCAGTAATAGCTGGCATTGGCCCCTAACGGAATCAGGGAAAAGGATTAATTTTTGATTACTGGCCTGAACATGGGAGCACCTATACCTATTAGGACACTCTTTGCTACAAGGCATAATTTATACTGGAAGCAGCATAAATTGCTGGTACAGAAGTGATATCACTGATGGCAAACTTTTCTATGAAACACCATCTGAACTGCAAGTTTTTGACCAAGTCCTAAATCTAAACAAGCTTTGCATGATTTCAAGCTGTGGTTTGGCTATTTAGTGCATCCCCTCATGTGCTATTATGAATCTTTTATTACCTGCTCTAGTCCGAATTGACCTCTAATGATACAGCAGAATTATTTTATTAATGCATTTCCCCACAGCAGAGGACTGCTGCTCTGGGCAGTAGCAGAGTACCTGGCTTTGCCTGAAGTAGTAAGTGTCCCTGGAAATGTATCCAAAGACAATGGGAGCTTTCCTGCCTGAAGTCCAGTGTTTCAGCATAGTGGTATCTGGGGCCCAAAGAGAAATGTGCAGATGTGATGTGATGCAGCAGCTGAGGCCGGATCTCTAAACAGAGAGGCTGATTGTGGTGGAGCCGCTGCCCTAGCAGGGCAGAGGAGAGGAAGCAGTGAATGCCGGTGGTGGGGACTGAGTGGCATCAGGGGAGGTCTTGCTTTGCAGGGAGTGGATTGGTGCTCCTGTGGAGCACTGCCTGCTCCATGTGCTGCTCTGCTCCTCCATCACACTGCATACGTGTTTCTGACCTCTTTTGCTGCCAGCTGAAGGAGGTTTTGTGAAGCAGCAGGCAAAAGGTGTGGGAGACAAGAACAAGAGTAGTGCTAATTTGCCCTGCCTCCCCCGCTGAGCTGAGTCAGGGGGGAGGCAAGAAATGCCAAGAAACAGCAAATTCTCCCAGAGGCAGAGCTTGTCTGTCCACTTTGTTGCTGTGTTGCCCGAGGTAGTTTAACCTTCTGTAAAGTCAATTGGTTGGCTAGAATTTGAATTTTGATCTGGGCTTCCACCTTTACTGCCTGCAGCGTGTCATTTACAGGAGCATGACTGGAAAACTGTATTGAGATAAACCAAAAGGTTTCTGCATTAGAGTTGGAGTTGTTCAACCCTGAAAAGAGAAGACTCTGGAGATGCCTTATAGCCGCTCCCAGTACCTAAAGGAGGCTAGTAAGAGAGCTGGAGAGGGACTTTTTGCAAGGGCATTTAGTGATAGGACAAGAGGGAATGACTTTAAACTGAAAGGGTGTAGATTTAGATTAGATGTTAGGAAGAAATCCTTTACTGTGTGAGGATGGTGAGGCACCGGAACAGGTTGTCCAGAGAAGTTGCTGATGCCCCATTCCTAGAAGTGTTCAAGGCAGGGTTGGATGGGGCTTTAAGCAACCTGATTTAGTGCAATGTGTCCCTGCCCATGGCAGGGGGATTGGAATTAGATCATCTTTTAGGTCCCTTCCAACCTAGGCTGTTCTATGATTTGTGCAAGCAGGGAGACAAATCCTGACTCTGTTTAGTGAAGCAGTGAAAACACAGATATCCCTAAGCAGTGTTTTGACACTGC